CGATCGCAAGATTGACTACTCGGTTCCCCTACCCGCATATAGCCCAGCGTCCTCGGCTTGTTCAACTGCAAGTGTTGACTTGCTCCTTCCTGTAACCGCTTCGTTCAACGACCCAACCGATACCTGCGAAGCTGTGCTTCCTGGCTACTCTGCAGCATAATATCGACCGAACCCTCCGAGCCTACTGTATAGACTTCGACCTTCAAGCACTCGGCTCCTTTCTCGCATGCATTCTCATCGCTCTCGGTTCGTTTCATCCTTTGCTATCGACGCGCTTGCGCTTCTGCTCCTCTCATTATCCTGTTCATACCCGTGAAATCTGTAGCATCACCCGTCTTGTCACTCTGTAGCCATACTCGCCCGTCGCATGACCGCAATGATATATCTGTCATGCCATCCTATTCGCGATTTTATCTTCGCTCGAAGCTTGGGTTCTTGTGCTAGCGCGACGACGACGTCTACTTGAGCTTCACCTTATCGAGTACCTCCCAAGTAGGAACAGGCCCGTTGCACTGCATGATCCAGATCTCTTCGCCATCTATTCCTTCAAGCACTTCGTCCGGGCTGTCCGTGTTCTCGGGGTCTTTCGAACAGTCCAGAGCAACGCCGTCCGCGCGCTCAACGATACGGCCCTTGTTCTTCAGTTCCTCCCTCACCTTCTCGCGCTCGCCCGCATCAGCGTTGTCGATATAATACAACGATACATGCGGGATCGGGGGAACCGCGGCGTCGCCAAGCCGCGCGCTAAGGTGCTGGCGCAGTACTGCGAGCGCGTCTACGTCGTGCACGCGTGCATAGACGGACATGAAGTACTTGTCGCCCACGTCGATTGAGCGGAACCTGGGTCTGATGGCGGCTTGATTATCGGGGATGGACTCTCTGAGCTTGGCAGCGGATGGTGTAGTCGCGAGAGTAATGTGGGGCTGGAAGTCGGGGAAGGAGGACGGGGAGGTGGGCGAACTACGCTTGATCGCCATGACGCGTTTGAGAAGAGCAGTCTGTTCGGGTGTCGGGACGAGCCATAGTGATATTCCTGGCAGAGTGTTAGGCCGGATGTCGTGCACAACGGGCCGTGAGCGTACCCATGATGGTGTGCGAGAGCCTGAGGAGGGTGAGTACCCACGTGTCCCCGATACCGTCCACATTTGGTTCCGTGGACCTACAGGGACAAACACTAGCTTACAACCGCAACCACAATTCTCTGCTCGGCCTTCGCTCCTTCCGCGCTCAAGCCTTGCGCACCTTCCTGGTCAATATTTTTTCAGTTCTTTGGGATATACCTAGGGCTTGTACCCACCCGCTCTGCTGCTAATTTGGGCTCGACACTGGCGTATCAGTTGCGAGGTAGACACTCGAGGTGTCAGCCTACAAGACCCGCCAGAGCGACGGGATTGCAATCCTGGCAATTGAAGAACAATCCGTTTGGGAACTAGCAAACTACTGCTGCATTCCCGCTCGCCAACCCATGACAACGATCACTCTGAGACAAAACCTCAGGCGCAAGGCTAGTACTACACGCTACACGATCCGACATAACAACGCTCTCTACAACGCTTCACAATAGACTGTGGTTTATCATGGACTACATATGTCTGGATGTGAGCTGTGTAAGACGTAACTTTTCTCCCTGCGCTGACGTACACATCACCATGAGCCCTGTTCGCAGCACCAGTAGGTGAGCATTCTCAGCTTGTAGCGACGGGCGTCCTGCATACTGATAGACTTACCTGTCTTAAGTCCATTGAGATATCCGGCCTCTTTATATTTATACTGCGCTCAAACTCAGAGGACTGTCTATCGATCCAAAGTGAATTTGAAGGTCATCCTGTGAGCTCCACACACACTGACTTGACCAACTTCAGAAATTATTCTCACCGCCGGCTCGTGATTGAAATAATTGACGATATGCAACGCTGGATGTCCGTACTTCAACAGAACCGCGATAGGGTCGAAGAAGTATACATCAGCATGGAGGAGCACTATCTCTCCAGCATCACACAATGCGATGCCTGGCTGAAAGCCCACAAAAATGGACACGCTATTCCACCAAAGTTCCGCCGACACTCGGCGAGCTGGTACCAGCATCGCGCAGCCCTCGACGATGAACTCGCAAGCCTCGCAGAGGCGGGCGTAACCTACGACCCGAGCTGCGGTCCGCCTAATGCACGCTCCCTGCATACACACGCCTTGAGCGACGCGAGTGAGGCCCGCTTGCATTGGCTCGCGCTGCAGCCGGAGCAGCGCGACGACGCGCTGTTCACTCGATACGAGGTCGACGGGCAGAGGATGCAGTACACGAAGCAGCTGCTGGCACTTCGGGAGGCGGAGAGAGATGCGCCGTAGGCTGAAGCTGCGGCCACGACTTGACGCATCCAATCCAATCGATGAGTGGGCAAAGGCGGAGGAGCCGAAGGGGGAGCTACGACCCAAAACACCGAAGAGTCTCAGAGGGGTTGTATGAGCCATTGTTTGGCTTAATCGCAAACCGTATGCCGTCCTCCGATATGAGGAGCAACAGAAGGCGGCGTTGCGCCCACGAATGTGGCGGAAAGTGGGCAACACCGTGATTTGGCTGCAAAAGCTACACTCACAGGCAGTCTATTCCAAACCGAGATTGACACATGACGGATGTATCGAGAATGAGGGGGGAAAGAGGTAGTCTTCCACATACATTATACACACTAATTCCGTACATACACTGCGCGGGGCTGATTGCTGTACAACAATGATTGAGCAGGAAGAACACTAATGATTACAGCGGGTGACTCAGTCAGAATGACGAGCGGGACCCCTCTACCTATGGCGGCGACGATGATACAGTTCACCCAGCGGAACTCAGCGAGCGAGCGTGGTGTATGGAGCACGAATTACTCGTCCTTGACGCTGATCCACGACTCACCCACGCCGGACCCGGCATTGCTCTCGACGTCTGCCTCGGAACCCGTTTCGGACGCGTTGTCATGTTGCTCAGGATCAGATTCCGTCGCATGCTCTTGAGCCACTTGTTTCGACTCCGGAGCGGGTACCTGAGGATGGGCCGAAGGAGGGACTGGGGGTATGTAAGCTGACTGGGGCAGCACGATGTGAGGCTGAATGGGAAGGAGTGCGTTACGAATAGAGATCAGGAAGTGTGGGATGTTCAGGATGGCGTCCAAGAGTACGCCAGGAAGGTAAGAAGCCAGAGCATAGGTCCTCGCTGCAGGCCGTGCATCAGCAATAAGGTAGATCAAAGTTTAGTATCTACTTGCCTCCAGCGCCAACGACGATTCTGTCGCCGCGGACGAATTCACGAAGTCGACCCAGCCCAAGCCTGATCAGCGCACCAATCGGATGCTTAGAGGTCCTACGTCCTCCACCCCCCACGACATCCACGATGGACTTCACGAAGACCGAAACGTCCGTCGGTCTCCTACGCACGCCATGGTGCGCACGCTCCTCGACGACGGCCTCGAAAGCTGTTCCGTACGCCACCTTCTCGCTTGGCGTCCACTGTTCTACGCCCCTGCGGACATCCGGGACAAGCTCGCCAGCCATGACCGGCCCGCCGATTGCGCCTACGTCGACCACGACGACCTTTATGTTCTTCATGCTGGCGCTTGCGTCCGTCAGCGCGGCCATCTTGACCTCCCTCCGGAGCACTTCGACCGCACGGAGCGTCGCAGCGGCGCTCATCGCCTGTGCGCCTGCGAACGGAAGGCCGACGCGCGCATCGATAGCGGGCAGACACACGATTACGCTCTTCTTGCCGAGGTGGTTCGCGAGCGCGTCGCGCGACCGGGCGGGGTTAGCGCGGAGGAGGGGCAGCATCGCCTGGATGACCTGCAGCGGCGTGATGTGCGTTGCGGTGAGGTAGGCGGTGTACGTGTCCTGCAGTCCAAGGTGCTCGAGGGGCGCGGGCGGAGGCGTGACGGAGGGAGAGGGGAGAGTTAGGAGGGAGATGACGGAGTGTACGTAGAGGTGCGCGGAGGGCACGGCGTGCGGGTCGCCTGAGGCTGTGATGGGGAAGCGGCGGGAGAGCGTGGAGGACAAGGAGCGTAAGAAGTAAGGGATTGTTCCAGGCTTCCGGGGCAGGCATTAGGGAAGGTTGGCAGTCTTTCACAAGAGCACTCACCTCTGAGGGGTCGAGCACCAATGCGCGCACATAGCCATGAGTATTGCGCTCAATCTCTGAGACTGCCTCCGGAGTCGAGACGCTAGCAATGACCACATACCCCTTCTTCTCGAGCTCGAGGATGAGAGGCAATCCAGACGGCGCGTCACCGCCGAGGACCACTGCGATCGCAGATCAGGACGGTGCTAGGCATGTGGGGCTCAACTGATACTCACCGACGACTTGTCTGCGGTCGGGACTAGCAGATGCCCTGACTCTGACCGTTGTCGAACCTGCTTGATAATATCCATAGCCAACGAGCAGGCTTGTGCCGACTGCTCCGACAGTGATCCCAGCGGTAGTCCATGGATGGTCGGCTACCCAGTTCGCGGTGTGCCGCAAGAACGACTGCGCAGGCGGTGGCGGGGGTGGAGGTGGAGGTGGAGGCACCTCAAAGGCACCTAGCCCGGGGATATGAAGATCGGGAAGTGGGGGAAGAGACTGGGGACCGAAGCGGGAGACGTCCTCCCACAAACGATGGATCGCTTCGCTGACCCGGGGTAGATCAGGAGTCGCCGCCTGTAAGGAGGAAAAAAGCAGCTGTTCCAGCGACTCCATGTAGTCTTCAAGCTGCTCAATGGTCGGAAGTACACCCGACATTGTGGTGATGGCGTTGAGGGCGACGTCGAGGAGGGCAGAGCTCGCGACCAACCCGCGGCAAGGATAGGGCTGAAGCCCGCCTACATACGCAAGCGCGCTTCACCCACCGGCACCACGCGGCGGGCGTCTATGCTACCGAAAACGGTAATCTCGTGTATTGAACGCCCACCCCACCTTCCGGGTGTTTCTCCACGACAAAAAGCGAGTTTTCGACGCCTCAATCGTCGCCAGCAAAAAGGAAAAGGCAAAACGACGCCAGCAGGATTCGAACCTGCGCCCTCAAAGAGGAACAGATAGCAGGTTGGAGCCTTGTAACTCGAACCAGTTCTAATCTGTCGCCGTAACCACTTGGCTATAGCGCCTTGATAGTGACACTCCGTTTTATCAATATATACGGCATGAGCCAAGATGACTTGTGCTTTGCTCATGATACTAAGCACTATTGCTAAGTTGTAAATCATACTATACAGTATGTCTCACTTGACCACAGTACCAGTGCTTGTACCGCCGAAGCGGTGTATGGGTGTCTGAGAGCGATGCACACCAAGCTCTCTAGATACGCCGTGAGAGCCGCATAAGACATCGTCATAGATTTTGATGCTCATCTACCCAGGGCCCTGCCACTGATAGGGCGGTGGCATTGGTGGAACGAACACACTGTTAAGCAGAACAGGGCGAGACCACCGAGAACCAGGCCTAGCAATAATATCTAATCGTGCGTATGGCCATGGGTCACTGGTTGAACTACCATAATAAACCAATCCTATGCGACGTCGACGCCGCAGCGAGTGTGAACTTATAGCATTGTGTCATGGCTCGTCTGTATACATGTACTGATGAGATCGAGGGCCCCCCATTTGTTGAATGCGCGCCGTCAAGTGACACTGTCAAGTCTCAGTGGGATAGACAAATCGCAATGAGACAGCGGTTCGGTTTCTCGTCGCGATCGTCTCATGCTGATTCAATTGCGCGAGTAGGAGACGACTGGATCGAATAAGAGCTGTGCCGAGGGTGGCCACGATGCGACAGATACGATGGCAAATGAACCTAGATGGAGCGATAGAAATGGGAGGGGACGTGGAAGGAAGCTAGAAGGCGAATCAGCATCAGTGGCAGCGGCCGGTCGCGACCGATTTGGCCACATAAGGCCCAACAACTGAGCGCCTATCCGCGATTAAGAGGCAACGGCGCAGTGCCCGTTACCCACTCTCCCCTCGTCGTCGTCGTTCCACTCAGCGAGCTCGCATCCGCCCTCGTCGCCCCCATCAGCATCCAAGGTATGTCTCTCGCACCCCGCGCAGTGCCTCCTCCCCTCCCACGTTCCCCTCACCATCCCCACTGCCTTCCCTTCAGAGCCTCCATCGCCCAACTTCCTGTCCCAAGCCCCTTCCCGAGTCCCTCCCTCACAAGCCCCCACACCGCCCCCTGCGGCCGCTGAGAGACACTGAATCCTACATTCACCATGCCAGAAGCTGACAACACCCGCAAGCGCTCCCGCTCCCCTTCCGACGCGCTCAACGACCAGCAGAAGCAATACAAGCGTGCCAACACAGGCGCCCCCTCATCCTCCGATGACTCACACTATGGTTCCTCCCGTACGGCCGCACACCAGGGCGATATTGACATGAAGCACGCCCTTGCAGACACCGCCGCCTCGACTCCCTCCCCCACCGACAGGAACGCCGCCGACATGGCCTCCTCTGAGGTGAAACGCGAGGATACCGGCTCGGCCACCACGTCTGCGGCACCCAGCAACTCATCCGCGCCAGGCGCGCCGCCCGCTGCCAACATCCATATGCGATGCCTTATTGTTACCCAGGATGCCTCCATTATTATCGGAAAAGGCGGCTCGCACGTGAATGAAATCCGAGAGAAGAGCGGTGCGCGAGTTATGGTCTCGGAGAGCATTCCTGGCAACCCAGAGCGCATCCTGAATGTCAGCGGTCCACTCGATGCCGTGTCGAAGGTAGGCTTCGATCTAGTGCGGTTTCGAGGCGCGTTGCTCACCGCAGGACTAGGCATTCGGGCTGATCGTCCGGCGCATTAATGACGAGCCCTTCGACAAAGCCTCAGTTCCTGGCAGCCGGGCAGTGACCATCAAGTTCATGATTCCCAACTCACGTATGGGCTCGGTGATTGGCAAGGGCGGAACGAAGATCAAGGAGATCCAGGATGCGAGTGGTGCCCGCCTCAACGCGAGTGAAGGCATGCTCCCCGGGTCGACCGAGGTACGTCCTACTTGGACACGACAACGTCTTTGCCCTAATATATGCACACCGCAGCGGGTGCTGAGCGTATCAGGCGTCGCCGACGCTATTCACATCGCCACCTACTACATCGGAAACATCCTCATCGAGGCCAACGAGCGCATGCCGTCCTCGAACAACTCCTCCTACCGGCCTTCCAGCTATTCGCGCCGGCCTCCATCGTACCAGGGCTCGTCGTACGTGCCGGGTTACTCGAACCCGTATGCAGGTGGTTCGCATAGCGCACCACAGCAGCTGCAAACGCAGCAGATCTATATCCCGAACGACCTTGTCGGGTGCATCATTGGCAAGGGTGGCGCGAAGATCAATGAGATCCGGCATATGAGCGCAAGCCAGATTAAGATCATGGAGCCGGGCGCCGTAGGCGTAGGCATGAACGGCGCACCCGCCCCTGCAGGCGGCGAGGGCGAACGCCTCGTCGTCATTACAGGCCAGCCTGCCAACATCCAGATGGCTGTGCAATTGCTGTACCACGTACGTGTAATCAGAATTTATGCATGGGTGCAGACACTGACCCAATATTTTTTCAGCGACTCGAGCAAGAGAAGCAAAAGCAGCTTCGGGCGCAGCAAACGGGTGCCTAAACTACGACGGGCTCCGCTCCAATTGAAGATCATCACGGCTCGCCCAGGGTCGCTGCTCTGTTCACCCTCGCCTTCGTTCTTGATCTGTCTTTATTACTTGCAGGCTCCGTATACCAGTGCATGCAGGTCTTTCGAGTCTGGTCAGTGTATGTGCCCCCACCTAGTGCTGGACTACGCGTTTCGTGTCGTCCTGTCGTCTGCTACTGCTCTCGTGTTCCACCCATGCTCCTCCCCTCTGCTCCCCTGCCTTACTCGTCTCGCATCAGCTTATGTCTCGTCTGGTGGTCTTCTCAGGCCGTCCCCTGTGAATAGATACTTTAGCATCGCAATCAATGCATATGTCGAGTGCATGTAAGTTAGGGGTGGTACGTCGGCGCCCTACAGACTCAAATAATAGAGGGGATGTTTCGTGAGACCAGGAATGTGTCGGAATGCATCTCTCTAGGTTGGCTGGAGCTTGGAGGACAAGGCGGTTGGTGTAGGTGATGAGACATCCTGGAGGTCCATGTTGCCAACGACATATAATTACAAGGTTTCCTCAGGCCAATGCAGACCACTGCCCACAGGCAGCGCAAATGGGTGCGCGCCGCCGCCGCCTGTACGCAAACGTTCCACGTCTCAACGTCAACATCCTCTCGCATCTTCGAGCTCATCCTGCAGGTCATCAACGCGAGCAATGAGCTTAGCGAACTCTGCATCTCCTGCCACACGCTCGTCTGTAGCCTTCTATCGAACGTGAGTCGACATGCCATCGCGTCCTCCGTAGGGCGACGTACTCTGCGTATGTCACCGAGAAGAGTGGTGAGGTGTGATAGGATAGTCTACCGGGGTTTTAGAAATCACTGGATTCAGCAGCATGTAGTAACATACCCGTATGTCTGGCGCCGCAATATCCTCCAGTGCGGCCACGAGGTCGTCTGTCCTGGAACACAGTCTAGTAGCTCAACACAGGGCGACATCAAGGCTATGCGCGCACCTGTCTAGAGCGGTCCCCAGGGCCGGCGACTCCAACACAGATCGGTCTTCTAGGACGTCGAAGCACGCATCGATCGCACTCATGCCCGTCCTCCGAGGCGCAGGCCGCTTGCCCTGCTCGTGCGGATACCCGCCTGGTAGCGATGGAGTGCTAGAGGAGCCAGCCGACGGCTTGGGGGTGGAGGAGCGCGTGCGCACGTAGTCGGGGTAGAGGCGGACGAGCTCGTCAAAGTCATATGGGCCGCGGCGGCAGATCGCGCACGGGTCGCCGGGCAAGAAGTGGCGCGTCGCGCACTCGGCGCAGTATAGGTGCCCGCAGGTGGTCGCCATCGGCGAGCTCGCGTCGTCGAGTGTCTCGAGGCAGATGCTGCAGCGTGCGCGCATCGGTGTGGTGCGGTGGGTTGCGGTGAGGTGGGGTGGGGTGTGCAGAGGATGAGAGGTGTGCGGAGGCTAGAGGGTGTGGTATGGGTAGGAGGAGGCCGTGCAATGCGGGGAAAGGCCCTCATTCATTGACGGCAACGTGTCTGGTAGAAGCTTATCCTAACAAGTATTACCGGTGAGCTTTCTGGTCCAGGCGCCCGAGTACGCGAAGTGAATAGGGTTTTCGGTGGACGCACGCACGCACATTGAGACTGCCGCCCGTATTCACGGTGAGCATAACTTACCTATATACAGCGATATACTTGGTGTACGTAGTCTTGTTCACCTACCGGGACCTGCCACCTACCTCATCGAAGAGCAACTGGCACACGACAAACTCGACACCCAGATGGGAGCATTGGCGATCCATCCACACTCGGCCGCATTATGGAACCGCGAAAACGCTGGTACCTCACCTTGCACGCGCTCAGGCCCCGGGTTAGGGAAGGGAGTGCCATTGCTCTTATCTGTGTGTAGAACCATGGCCGCACTGCAAGCATGTAGCCGCCGAATCGCAAGTAGATGTGCGCACGACCGCATGTTTACCTGTAGACTATGTCAGCTTTCCACAGACGGCGCGAACATGGGTGGACCAACACACCACTAGAACTATGTAACACCGCCCCACTTGAGCAGTGACCTTCACTTCCTCTGACCTTGATCCTCGCGCATAACAGACAATGTGTCGCTATTGCTGTGATATACACATATATGAGTAGATAGGAGCTGCTGTGTGCAAACGAGTGTGGGGAAAGCAATGTGGGCGGATATATTCCGAGATGAGCAAAGGTGATGGACAGCATGTCATAGAACTGTCTGTGAACCTCAGATAAATTCAAGGGACTCATCGCCGCCGAAGAACACATCTTGGATGCCCGCCTCCATCGCCTGATGCTTCTTCTTGAGGCTGTGATGCTATCCCACCACACCATGAGCCACACGCGGCAGCAGTCAGGGCCAGAGCGAACCACGCACCTTCTTCTTGTACCGGCCCGCCTGTGTCTCCCACTTCTTCGCCTCCGCGTCGAGCTCGGTGATGACCACGCGGCTCTGCTCGACCTTCGCGCGCTCGATGTTGAGCAGGCTCGTCGTCTGCTCAAGATCCTCCTGCAGCTC